ACATTACAATTCCTTGCTGTCTTTGCATCCATTTATGGTGCATACGTTTTTATTTAGGAATAAAACCCACTAAGTGTTGTTTTGATTCTTTTTTGAAAACAAATTCTGTTTGCAGGCTGTGTAGAAAACTTGTCAGTCACTCACTGTAGGTACACAGCACCCCACCCACACTGCTCCTTCCAAGTCCTTGCTCTTCAATGGAACCAATTGTTTAACCACATTTATAATCGATGCAATTTCTGGAGCGTTTCCTAAAAGTTGACTGATTTAACGTTTACCCACTTGGGGGTTTGGCTTTCTGCTTTGATGTATTATAGAACAAAGTGTGAGAGCCTATCTGGATAAATGTGTGTTGCAGCACCTCTGTGCTAGTGCACAGGCAGTGCCATTGCCCACCTCCTGGGGTTTGGATCCCACATGTCAGCATGGCTTGACACTTAGGGGGTTTGGATCGAAGCCTTCCTAGGGATGGAGCAGTGTCCGCATTGCACATGAATCCAGATGAAATTCAAGCTGCCCTTGGACTGTCCTACTCTTATCAGTAAAGCAAATCTGTCACTGTGGCTGAGCCAATTCACATAGTCATCTATGCACTCATGAATTGTGTGTTTGAATTGAACATTTAATACAAAAAACACAATTTGCTTTTTGGTACTTTAGTGGAGTTTTTTTCCAGTTTTCTTTTGGTTGAATAACTGTATGAATTTCAGCTCTTGTCTTCTGATAACACTTGGCAGACCAGTAAGACCTAGTCAGTATCTAGAGCTCTGGCAACACTAACTACAGTGTAGAAATCTCATCCCACAAGAGATTATTTTATTTGCTTTATTGATAACCTTATTCTGTAGGAAGGCGTTTATATGACAGCTCATCTATCACATGTCTGAGGTCATCAGTCTGCCCTGGAAATGCCTGTTTTTCTCCTGTGACTGTAGAAGAGGAACAAGTTGTGTAGGTAGGAGCCCTTGCTCAGTGGTTGTGTTTGCACAGAAAAGCTGAGGTTGATGGGACCTCTGGAACCTGCCTGGTTATGTCTCCTACTCAGAGCAAGATCCCCTGGAGCAGCTTATCCAGGGCCATGTTCAGTCAGATTTTGAGTATCTCCAAGGGAAGAGGCTCCACAGCCTCTCTGGACAACCTGTGCCAGGGTTTGACAACCCTAACAGAGAAAAGGGGTTCTCTTCTCTTTAAGCAAGATTTCCTGTATGTCATTTTGTGCTCATGGCTCTGTCTTCACTACCCTCCCCCATCAGGCATTTAAACACTTGGATAAGATGCCCGAACTTTTTCTTCTTCAGGCTGGGTAGTCTCAGCTCTCACTTTCTCCTCACATGACTTGTGCTGCCCCAATCCTTTCATCTTCACTGCAGTCACTCCAGTAAGTCCGTGTCCCTCAGTACTGGGGAGCCCAGAACTAGACCTGGCATTCCAGATGTGACCTCACTGGTCCTGAGAAACATAGAAACAGTGTAAACTACTGAATGTCACAGACCTCACTTTTGGGCTCCCTGTTAGTGGGTGTGATAGAAATAAGAAGTTGCTGATACTGCAGTGGGAAACCAAGCTGGCCCTGGGGCATTTGTACAAAAGCAGTAGGGATTGCAGATTTTATTTACCCTCCTGCATTTTCTTTCATAAGCTATAGTGCTTCCCAAACAGTGTTTTCTAAACATAGCAACTTGAGACATGTTCTCCATTGCCAGGCTGGCAAGTGGCTTCTGTGTTGCGTTCTCTCCTGCGGGCTCAGGGTCAGCTTTCTAACAGGGCTGAGGCAAAACAACTGTATTCTGTGATTAGCAGCTGGTCTCACCTCTTGGCAGCATGGCACCTGTGGGTTTTTGCTTCCTTCTTGGAGTGAGGCTGCAGACACTGGGGTGAGGTCCCAGTCTCTAGCATGGTGGGACAGATGGGAGTCATAGGGGGGTGATGCAGCCACAGACCTGTCTGCACAGCGCAGGACATAGTGGAGAGGCTGCCGGGTGCGAGTCGTGGCTAAGATGGTTGTGATTTGTTTTTAGCTGTATTTGGAACAGTCCCCAGTTGTTACCTTTGGACTCCCTCTAGGTACTTTTATACTGGAGATAAAAAAATAAAGCATTTAGTTTGTACTCCATAGCCTGATATCCTCTTTATCTTCTATCCCCAAGGAGTTTATTTTTATACTCTCCATTAGTTTAGTGACCCCTAACTGGTTTATAGTTATGCTCCCAGGGGTGGTTTTGCTTACCCTTGTTTGCTGAGTCTCACAGATCTGTGTTGCTTCCCTGCCTATGGCAGCTTCTGAGCTGGAGAAATGTAACTTTAATTAAGCTTTTTATTTTATTTGCAAAAAGAGAAACTGGCAGACCAGGTACTGAAGTGGGGTTCAGTGCTTACACAGAAGGAGGACCAAACAGTAAAGCCTATAGGAATCACAGGGTTCAGTGGTTCAGGGGTGGAGGAGGTCCTTCCTTCTTGAAATGCATTCTACCAATGGTCTCATTCCACAGACAGAGGTGGGAAGTATGTTCCCCCTGTGTCAGGCAGGAGCACAGGTGTTGAGGGAGTGTTCCTTGCAGAGGATGACAGGCTGCATCAGCTGCTTTCAGTCTGAGTAACCCCCAGGCTGAGTGGACAGGCACAAGGAGCAGAGGCATGGTGTTGGGTTTCCTGTTCTGAATGTGAATCTTTGCCTTCTCTCTGCTCGGGGTCCTTTTCCCATGTCACCAATCTCTCTTGATCTGATTTCACCCAGGACTGCTAAGGCTGGAGTCCCACAAAAGTATTCAAGGCTCAAAACAAGCTTTTTGCTCACAACTCCCAAATTCTTACCCACCTTTGCCTAGCTGGCCCTTTTATTGTGCAAAACCAAAAAGCAACCTGGCTCCTGTGCTGTTCTGGCTCTTGTTCAGAGGGAGATTTCAGAAAAGTATTACCCATTTTATGGTTAGCCATTTCACTCTGAACCATTTGGTCCTTTGCCTGGACCTTCAGGCAAAGAAGGTCCTGAACTTCTGGATCTGGGTGAATTGCGGTGGGGGCAATCAGTTGTGTGGATTAGTGCAGGTCTGTTGAAGTCAGCTGTGGATGACGTAGTACTGGGGTAACTCTTTCTGTGGGCTCACCCAAAACCTTTTCTTCTTTTTTTTATATAAATATATGCATATTTCATTCTTCATCTTTCCTCTGCTGTGTCACAGAGCCACAAGCAGCCAAGTGGTGCCATCAGTGGCACAAGATCTTACACAACATCTCCTATTTTAATAACATGAGGTTCACAAGAGATTGCAGGCATCACAATATATTGTTTCAGATGTGATCATTTCCACATTTCCTTTTTCTGGGAGAAGAGCTGAGGTTTCTTTCCATTATTCTGCATGCCTTTGGTTCAGACCGCACTTTGTGGACAGCAGATGTTCCTCTCTGGCTTAAGTGCAAAAACAATTTAATGGAAGATCAAAAAAGTGATGCTTGTCCTGGCCCCCAGCAGATGGACCACGTGTGCTCTGGGCAGTTTCCATCAGGTCCCTCTGGAGCTGAGGCAGCCAGCGTCCCCCACTCAACCCCTCCATCCTTGCATTCACTGTGAGCACAAAACACAGAGTTGGCCACAAACAAACAAAAAAGAGTACTGTAGTAAGCAGGGATGAGGAATCTTCTAGAAGTTCTTTTTCTTTGGCTTTTCAAAGAAAATTTGTAGTTCATAATGTACAGTAAGAAGAAGAATGTAAGAATAATATTAACCTTATAAAAGTAACACTGAAACTGCAAAGTCAGTTTCATCATCCTGGATCCAACAACTACAGCAAGGGCAAAACCACCCTTCCCTGTTCTCCTCCCTGCTTCAGAAGAGCAAGACATACGTGAGGAATGATGCTGGCAGGAGTTTAGCTATGAGAAAATAGAGAGCAAGAGAGAGATGAGCAAGAAATCTGCTGAGACCAACTTGTTATTTTTTAGATTTTGAGAGATTGACTCTTTAATGTCTGCTCTGGGAATATCCTTTGGCATCCATCTCCACGGCCGTTTTTCAGATACACGCTCTAGGCAAAGATGGTCCAGCTCCAGCACCCACATCTTCCCCAAAGCTCAGCATTGCCAGGGTCGATAGCTTTCACATTGTCCCTCTTCTGTTCCTGGGCTCCCATAAAAGCCCTCTGTTTATTTCTCTGACCACACATTGTGTGTTAAGACCTTGTGGTTTATGTCCAGTCTGGATTAAAGCCAGCAACTCTTCCAGCATTGTCGCTTTGCATTCATGTGTATCTCAAAACATGGAGGGAACATCTGCCAAAGGAACTAGAGGATTTATATTGAGACAAGCTGGCTTGTAGCATGTAACCATGATCTACAGCAAAGAGTCTTGGAAATCTTCAGGAGCAGGGCCCAAAGTAAAGCTCGGCAAAGGGCTGCCCTCTGTGCAAAAGCGACCTAATTTCACATGCAGTTCTGCAGCATTTGAAACTTCACAGAGTGGTGTGGAGCACTATCTTCTTCATTGACCGTCTTCTCTCCTGTGTGGGATGCAGGAGAGGAGGAGGTGGAGGAGAAGAAGGAGGGAGAAGTCGTCACCACATCAGTGTGTGAAGGAGAGGAATTCTTAGTGCTGCTGCAGCTCTGCTCCTTGCAGAGGAGGTGGAAGGCAGCCTGGGAAGGACTGTCTCAATGCTGGGACCTGAGGTGCCGCCTCCCTCAGCACCACTAAAGGGAGGGACCTTTCTTCTGCGTTGGCTTGTATTTTAGAATGAAATTTCCCAGCAGCAAGAGGAGGGGAGGAAGGAAATCTTATTTTCCTATAAAAGGACTCCCTGCCTGTATCCTGTGTATGGCGTGTGACTGGGATGATAATGGGGCAGGAGGGGGAGAATCCTGTAAAGCATATTACAAGGTAAGAGGCTCTCGCCTTCTGCTTTTTCCCTCTGCCTTTGATATCTCCAACCTTCAGACAGATCCCTGGAGCTGCTCTGAAGAGAAAGACAAGGAGAAGAAAGCACTCCAATCACACTGACACAACTCCATTCCTTCAGCAAGCTATGTAGATATTTTTATTTTATAGTCATTTGAACAGCAGAGAGTTTGGCAATAGTGACAGCCTCAGAAGCGTGCACTCTGCATTTGCGTATGTGTGTTTCCAGCTTGGCTCAAACTTGATGTCTTGGAAGACCTACCATCATGCTGCTTTTAAACAAAGCAGCAAATTGGAATACCTATCCTGTGGGTTCCCCAACAGCATCATGTCTTGACACCCCTAACCTGGAAGCACAAGGGATGTTAGCCAAACTGGAGGGGTTATTACCAAGCACTAGACTGCGAAGAATCTCTGATACATTTCAGCCAGCAGAGCTTCATTAAGCTGCCGGGGTGATCTGCACTACTTTCCCATCATTGCTGTTAATTTAAATTTATTTCTATTCTTTTACTCATGTCTCAGTAAAAAATTACTGAGGCCAGACCTTCAACTGGGCATGACTATATTGGCACAGCGCTCAGCAGATTTATGCTTGCCAAGGACTGTGTCTGGACTAGCAACAGGACTATTTCATCTGGGTTCTCATCACATAAACAGGTCAGGTTATTCCTAAAGCTGCTGAAGTGAGTTGTCCTGGAGTTTGTTTTCAATACACCATTGCTTTTATATAGCAGTGTATTCCCTAATAGCATTATGTTTATGTTATTTACGTAATACGTTCATCTTCTATTTTAATAATATATTTGACTAACTAGGTTGCAAGTCATTGCTGCTTCCACCATGATGCTGCAGCATAAATAAAGCTGCTGATGGGATTTTTTCATTAAAAGATCTGGCAGTGGGTGTTGTTCTCCCACTGAAGTCAGTGAAACTGGCTTCTGGCAGATGAGGAAAGGACCAAACATGTCTGTAACTTGCTAATTTGTTCATGCACATAACTCAACTAGTTGGACAACTCATTGAACAGCTGGTACTCTGCCAAATAAGCCCAATTGTATCTGTCAACGCAAAGCAGGAATAACTCCCTCCACTCATTGAGACAGGACCTTGATCCTCAGCAGGCTGAATCATGGCACTATGAGGAACAAGGAGCTCCCACAGATCACTGCCAAGGTTTTTGGGGAAGGAAAACAAGAGAAGAAAGAAGAAATTAGCTCTGCTGGTGTCCCAACAAAGCTCAGCAAGATGGGAAAGGACATTGCAGAGTGACAGCCCTGGGCAGCTGAGGCAGCTGTATGCTAGGCTGGACTGCCGCACTGGTTCTTTGCCAAAATAACTGAGCCATCCTAATAAATTCCCTGTGTAAAAAAATATATCTATGAATCATGCCTTAGAAAGAACAGTGCAGCTGCTAAGAGGGCTGGTTATGGCCAAATGAAATGCTCTAACGCTCTACAATCTGACACTGAGCCGCGACGACTCTCTTTGCGAAGAGTGACTCTACTTGGACACGTGCGCACGGGTGTGCGTACGTACATGTGCACGTGCACGTACACACACCTATAGCTTCATAATCCTGCTGCTGAGTGGGAAGACATGGGCCGTGGGCGGGCATGGGGGAGGCCCTGCCGCTACACGATCATGAACTGGCAGATGTAGGGCAGCTGTTCTCTGCACCTCTTGTCGAACCACTTGCCGATGGCGGTCCCCGACAAAGCTGCACAGTTTTCCAGCTTGCCGCCGTCGGGCTGGGTGGTGATTTCAGTCTCCCAGTTCTTGTAGCGGATGGGGCTGCCTGTCATGTCGACCCACTTGCCCTCTGCTGCCATGTCATTGAGGCCCAGCCAGATCTCTGCCTCCGAGCCGATGCTCTTGCGCATGTAGTCATAGAGAGCATCATTCTCCTCCCCGTTCTGGGGGGTGCTGAGCGTGCCGCCCTGTGAGATGCAGTTTTCGCTGGCCTCGTGGTACGTCTTGGTGTCCGAAAACGCCAGAAAGCATTTTAGGTGAATTTTGGTGCCTTTCAGGCAAACTGAGAAGTTACCACAGGAACAGAACAAAAAGACAAAAAGGGAATTGGGTTTAAAAATAGTGCCCAGGAAGAGGCAGCAGCAGCAAATCCAGCAGTCAAACTAAAAACTTCTTCTCTTAGGCTGCACAGCAGCCCTTGGCAGCACAGGATTCCAAGGGGCCCCTTGGAATGGGGACGTGCCCTCCCTGTCAGCCAGCCATCAGGAAAAATGGAATTTCAGGGTGTCCCCGCCACCTTCCCAGGCTTTGCTGCTGCTGAGGCAGAGGCACAGCATGGTCTTCCTGCCCCTGTCCCTGGCCTTGCTCTTCCCCAGCCAATGCTACTCTTTCTCAGATGAGTTTGATGGAAACAAGTTTTGTCGTGGGCACTGCCAAGTGTTGGAGTGTTTTGGGAAAAGCCTGCATGCCAATTAAATCGTCTTAATTATGCAAGATGAAAAAAAAGTGTTTTTTAATAAGCTTTGATCAGAAGCGTTGTGCTTGCATAGCTTGAGGTCTTCAGAGGAAGTTTCTGCTTGCCTCTGATTTAAGTGTTAAGAATATCAAATTATTTTGTTTTTCTTTAAGCTCTAAACCTTGAGGAGTACAGGGTACTGTAGCTAAACAATACCTAATCAGAGCCATACATTAATATCCAAACCAATTATTTCTCAATGAATGTGAGCTTGGAACTAAAGCCTTGATTTTGCTTGTGTTCCTTTTTTTTTAAGGAGAAAATTCTCCTTAAATTGCATTTTCATCTAATTTCTGTTCTCTATTCTGCAAATCCTGCTCCTATTGATGTTGGTGGAGTTTGCACAGAATAACTGTGGAGCATTGCTGGAAGATGGACATTTTGGGACTGTCGTCTGTGTATGTTTAATGAAGCATGGTGGAACTGACCACCAGTGAGGTTCCCTGGGCAGTATTGTGGTATGTGTAAGAGACCAGGTCACCATTTCACTGGGGTTCAGACAAAAAGAGTAAGCTACATTTGGTTAAAGCACAGACTAATCCATAACCCATCCCTCCACCTCATAAAGGAAAATGAACATCTGGCTAAGTGTCATAGACATATCTATAGCTGTACAAATGGGAAGATCTAGCACATAAAGAGTGGGGCCCCACACTGCACAACTCCTGTCATTAACTGCCTGAGGAGTTTCACCTGCCTGCAGGAATTGCAGTGAGCCCATGCTCTGCTTTGATCCCCCAGCATTTCTCCCCATGTTATTGCTGTGAGGTGCTTGGGCATCTCCTGTCAAAATGTGTGGAGAAATTGGATCCGCTTTATAAGAGCTCCTCTCCCAAAGCAAAAGCCTTGAATTGTTCAGCAAGTCCTGTACCTGTCTGGAGCGCTTGCTTCTCCTTCAGTAGAGCAACCTCCTGAGAGATGTTGTCAATCATGGCCTTCAGGTCTTCAATCATTTTGAGGTTCACACCCTCTGTTGGAGAAGTCAAGGAAGGAGCATAAACATCCCAGGAGAGGCAACCAAATCTGTTCCTATCATCAAAACTCCAGATTTCCTTGCCCTCAGAGAATGATAAACAAAAGGAATCCACAAAGTCAACACCTGTGTCCCCTTGCACATACATCAGAGTGAGCATTTGCTCACCAGCCTGGTTCCACTGTCAACCCAGTTTTCCCAGTTCAGGCTGCCTCTGATCACCTCTACCTTCAGCGTGCCCGGAGTAGGTACCCCAAAACTGGCCAGAGCTGCTCTCCTGCTGTGAGAAGACACCTCTTTGGCCAGGGAGTTGGTTGCAGCTGGCTACTAAAGCCTACATCTTGCTAGGTATGTTGCCTCTGCAATGGCTTCAACAAGCTATTAACTGGTATTTGAATTTCTCTTAGACAGGAGCAAAAGGACCATCACCCTTTGAAGGTGTTGGGAGATTGGATATTGAGGTATTTGTATTCACTACGCCACCTTTGCTGCTCCTGTTGCTTTACCTTGCCTGTCATAAACATCTAGTAGTCCTCATAGGGTGAAAGGAAAGGGAACAGTTTGCCCACAAATGCGGCAGGACAGGCTTCCTGGAGGGTCAAGGAGATGGGGAGCTGAGGCACCAAGCCAGGCAAGTAGGGAAGCAGCTTGGATGCGGAACAGAATCACCAGCCCAAAGATTACATGGTGCCATGAATATGAAAAGCCAGACACATCAGGAGGAGGGCATTAAAGCTGCTTTACTCATTGCTCAATTAACTTTAATGGATTCACTTAACACTGAGGGCCTAGTTATTATTTTGCTGCCTTTGATGAAAACACTTTGTGGGAAACGGCTAATTAATCCTGTTCTATTTTTCCATGCAAGCCTCTCTTGCAGCAGAACAAATGTTCTAAAGTTTAAGTAACATCCAAGGGCCATGGCAGAACATTGTCAATGAGACTTGCTGGGACAGCTCCTTATGGTGTTCCAACTGGGTTTGCTGGTGGGTTTCCACCTGGAGGCTCCCTGCCATGAGAGGTCACACATCTCCTTGATAACTATCTAAGCACCCCGTCCCTTGTGACAGCCTTGTTTCCAAATCCTGGGCCACAAGACATTCCTACAGCAGTGCATTCACTGGGACATTGCGTGGAGGATCAGGACTGGTTAACTTGCTCTTCAGCTACAGAGTACCACAGCTACGTCAACAGACACTGAGTTTGCTATATTATTACTGCAGGGTTTTGTCTCTGCTGTCATTTCCTCGAGGCTCGCCTCCTCAAGCCCAGGATCAAGCCTGTTTACAGTTTGGGTTTGCTGTAACTGAAGCCAGCATGCGGGATGCCAATGCTGTCCATAGGAGCTGGAGTGGGTCCTTGTGCAGCCAACCATGAGCAGCAGGATTAAGAGTGGGCAGAGGAGAGATGAAAAGGAGACTCACAGAAAGATGTGGGTTCCAGTAGTCTGTTGGTTTGAAAGCCTGGCCAGAAACGTAATTAATGCTGCAAATGGGAACTCTCACCTGCTTTTCCTTGATCTAATTATATGATGAATAACAAACAAATCCATCTGTATTTAATTTTAATTATTTAACTAATACTATATGAAATTTGGATCTATATGTGGGTTGCTTAGCTTTGCCTGGACATCCAAACAGGCTTCTGTCCCGCAGAAGAATGAGCATTGCTCTGATTTACAATCTCTGTCATCAAATCTCCCTGACCATCTGTATTTCTTCTGACACCAGGCACTTCCATGAATGTCCCAACTGGAACAGTCAGATCCCATATTGCAATCTGTCCCTGGATCAGAGGAGGAGACCAAACACACACGCATGGATTTATCTCAGTGTAAATGTTCACAGGCATTTTCAGGAAAGAGCACCCAGAGTACAAGAGTACACTGAAATTTTGGGCAGCATCAGGAGAGGAGTCCAAATTAGTCCCTATTCACTGATTTAAGCATCTGAACTCCAAATTTCTGTCTCCAGTTACCTTAGAAATCAATGTGAGAGCTATGCAAAGCTGCTTCCTCTTGTGCCCCCAGCAACCCACCATGGCTGTGACTAAGGGAAGACTCCACCAGGGCTGGTGGGTGCCCAGCCTGTTATCCCTAAGCCAGGGGGTGACATTGCCCCCCAGGCAGGAGTGCCATTGTCTGCCTCCCCTGGGCATCCTTTTGGGTGAGACCCCCAGAGCTACCAGACAAGGGCAAATCCTGTCTGCCCCCCAGGGCATCAGGGAACAGGGAGAGTTTGCCGAACGGCTGCATTTGGAAACATAACTGGGGAGCAATTTGAGGGGGAAAAACCCAACAGCAGGCAAAGTGAATGTGCCATCTCAGCATTTTCTAAATACTGTGGTTTGGCTTTTCATGTTGAAACAGCACCATTTTTGTTCTGAAGCAGATCCAAATACAAGCAGTAATTACAAAAGAAAAAAAACCACACCAACAACAAACCCCAAAACAACCAAACCCAAACCAAACTGAAAACAAAAGATAAGTAAAAAGAAAGATAAAATGCTTGGCTCAAGTCAGTGCTTTCTATTCTGACATTCGTGGTTTGGCTGCATAGATTAAAAAAAAATAAATCCAGCCAAACACCCCAACCCTTCCCTGGCTTAGCCTTGCCTGACCCTCCTGGGCAAAGTGCAGGAGGTGAGCCAGGATGGGGGGTACTAGAGGCCTGGGATGAGGTTGAGATGGGGCCAACCTGCCTTTGTTCAGAGCAGGAGTAGCTGAGCCCTGGCCCTTACGGCGGCTGGGCAGGCAGGCTCGGATGTGGGGAGGGGCTGGAGGCGAAGAGGAGCCTCCTGGGAGATTTGTAGCGCTTTCTCCCTTTCCCCACCCCCTGGCATTGGTAAAGATATGAAAAATATTAATGAAGAAATGTTGGAAGTTTCCAGTAAAGGCAGGGCAGCTGATCCACTGTGGGGCTGGATGCCGCTGGCCGAAAAAATGCCAAGTTACTGGGTTTTTGACTTTTCCCCACAGAAAGTTTGATGTCTCCTTTGACAAGAAATTCTGAGTAAAACCTGCCACCAGCTGTTCCAGATGGCTTGATTTTCAGGACACCTTCCTCAACAAATTTTAAATCAGAGCAAGTTTTTCCTGTCAAAAAGGTGATTTTTCTCCTACCTTCTTATCACCAATTGATTACAAACAGCAGTTGCAGTGACACAGAGAGAAAAAGAGGATTTCTCTAAGAAATGTCTCTCTTCAGTCTCTAAGTGCAATGCATGTATGTGCCTTATATGAGCCCAAAGGCGTATTTTTTGCTCTAGAAATAAGTCACAAACTGTTTTCTCTGTTATTCTACATCCTGTGAAACAAGATGTGGAATAAGCAGTTATGTTGTGAATTCATAGAAAGATCTAATGGGAGAAAAGGGAAAAATTTTCTCAAGGATGCTATCTGACAAAAACAGCAACCGGGTGAGCCTAGAGAGCAGCCTGGCCAAATGAATTCCAGGGATGCTTCTTCCTTGCTCCCCACTTTGTTCCAAGCAGGAAAGCGCCTGCCAGAAGCAATCTAAGCCCAAGGGTATGCAGTCAGGCACATCAAGCAAGCAGGCTCACATGCTGCTTCCCTACCTGCCTTCTCCTGTAGTTAATGTGCCTTGAGTCAGAAGGAGAAAGGATGGGACAGCAGCAAAAAAGGAGAAGGAAAAAAAGAAAGCCACTAGGGAAAATAAAACATAGGCATAATTTTGTATGCATTGCCCTCTGGTAAGCCTGAGTAGTCAGAGCTCATGTACAGTGTGACATACACCCGAGGCCAGTGTTTTTATGGATTATGTATTTTCTGCGTACTTTTGTCTCCAAATCGGTTGCCTGTCATCTGCCACTTACTTGCTTCTGAAAAAAGAATGAGAAGGGGTGGGAAGTTATGGAAAGGGGGATTTTAATATAGGAAAGGTTTGGTATGAACCTTAGAGAGAACATGGAAAATGCGTTGCCCTCCGAAATTCAGACCAAGCTGTCCCAACAAATTTATTAAGGCAGGAACCCACCCAAGCCATTTCAATATCCTCAGTATTTTACAGAAAAGCTACACAATCATCCCCACGGTGGGGTGGGGGGAGGCGGGGGGGTGAGAAAAAGACACTTTATTAAATTTTTAGATGCTTTTTAGAGAAGTTTCATTAAAGCACTGTTAAATGCCCAAACAAGTGGGCTAATTGCGACCCCCCAAGCCCCTGCAAGGTTTCCTCGCAGGGAAGGTGCCACTGCCCCTTACCTTTCTTGGAAGCCGCCGGTTTCTGCCGGACTTGGCCGGAGACCTGGGCGAGAGAGAGGAGGCAGAGGAGGAGGCAGAGGAGGAGGCAGGCTCCCCGGAGCGCCATGCCGCTGCCGTCTGGTGCCGAGCGATCGTGGAGTGGCTTCGCTCTGCCCTCGCACAGCCGCCCGGACACCGGCTGGAGTCAGGAATGACTGTCCCAGAAAGCCGTCCGCTGAGCCCGGGCCAGCGGCAGCCTCCCTGCTCCGGGGGGAGGCTCAGGCGGCTCCGGCCAAGACTGAAAGCCTCCCAGAGGGGTTGCATTTCTTAGCGCTCTGCTTGTTTTTGTTAAAAAGGAAAAAAGAAGGGAATGAATGTACTGAAAGTCTGCTAAGCTAAGCGTAAGGAAAGGCTGGGAGTATAGCTGGAACGACTTCCTACGACTTTTAGCAAAATGCCACAAGCTTGATCTTGTGTGTCAGCGATGGCAACAGCAGCATGAGGTGTGAAACAGCGTTTAGGTGGCCGAGGGAACAGAGAGGGGCCACCTGCCCCATAGCCCCTCGGAAGGGATGTCCGTGAGGGATGCTGCCAGTGCCAACAGAGGCAGAGGGGAGTGCAAGGGAGGACTGAGTGCCCCGGTCCCTACCATGGTGTGACAAAGGGCCTGGCATGGAGATTCCTGGTTTAACCCCTCTGTGAGGAGCTGCTGTGAGCCCCCCAGGCTGAGTGCAGCCATGGTGGGGCAGAGGTTGGTTGGTTTTTTTCCTGGAGTAATCCTTTCTCAAAATGTAGGATGGTTCTAACACCTAAAAAAAGCAGTTCCACTGTGGCTTTGGTAGGGTTGTCCTGCCATCATTACTTCTTCTTGAGAGATGAGACTGGTACTTCATGCCCACCTTTTCCCAGCTCTTCATGGGGTTCCCTCTGGAGGGTCCCTTGCTGCAGAAACACCCATTTCTCTGCTCACTGTGGGGATGGGAAGCAGGTGCTGGGCAGCCCTGCTGGCTGTGGGCAGAGTCATCCCATGCAAGCCAACTGCTTTCTACCTAAAGATAGTTTCTTGTTTGCCTTTAGACAGTCACAGTTTGAGGGAAGCTTTCAACATGATAGGTTTTCACCTCTAAAATTTGGGATCCCTTCCGGCAAAAAGGAGTTACCTTGCACAGCAGGCCTGTGGTGCATGTGACTGTGCCTTTGCTCTTGTCCAGCTCCCAAATTTATGTTGTAGGATAAGGCTTTGGTCTGTGTCTATCTGAGGAGCAGCTTGGTGACACCCCTTCTTGGCTGTGGGACCTGCTGGGGCTGGAGGGCAGGAGGGGCTGACCTAGTGTTTGCCCATCCCTTTTCCTTGCCCTGATGGCTGGGGATGGAGTGTGGTTCCCAGCGCCAGACTTTAATTGCCAGTTCCGAGGCAATTCCAGTGTAAATCACTCTCCTCACAGTGATTCCCATCCTCTGGAGTGAGGACAGTTATGTTTGCCATACTGTCCTCTGCCCCATGGCAATTTTGCAAGGAGAGGGGTGGTTAGTGCTGTGGAGCTGCCCGGCAGCAGCATTACATTTAGACCTCATAAAAATCTGAGTGGCACCGTCCAGGAGCGTGAGACTCTTTTGGTGGCAAATGCAACCCAACCACCAGACCACACAGTGGCTTCACGTGCTTTTAATTTTCCAAAATTGCTCTCAATTCTGTAAGATAAGAAACCAAACATCAGCTCCAGAGGTTTTAACCCAAACAGAGGGCTGTTCATCAGGTTGCTCCTTAACCCTTTCCATTGCCCTGACCAGTAGCTGGAAGTGTTTCAGCTCTGCCTCACCCTACCAGGCAGCAGGAAGGTGAGATCTCAGCCTCTACACCAAAGGAACCATGTTTTGGCAGGTGTGGGCAAAAGCATGGATGAAGAAAACTGGGAAGATGTTTGACTTGCTACTGCAGATGTCCCACTAAGAAAAAGGCTGCTCCATCTCTGTACACCAAGTGAATTGCTTCTGCCTGGCACTGGACCACTTCCCTTCCTGCTCTAGCAGTACTCACACTAGGTGCAGTTTGTACTTAGGAAATCTGGCACGTGCCAGGGTCCATAATCCAAAAGATCTCATGGCCGAGTCTGTCAAAGCACTGAGACACTTCATGAGGCACGGTGGTTCTGAAAATCTTCACACCCGCTGCCCTTGAGTCTGGCTGAGTACGTGAGGGGTCTTCCTCAGGGCCACCTGTATAGTTAGGTGGCCAAAAAATACTTAGAAATTTGTGTCTTCACTCAGTTTGGGGAACGTTCAGGCTTCTTAGTACCTCTAGAGCTGTAACAGATGACTGGGATGAGTGGGACTTGGGATGGGGGGAACATGTTCCACAAAAAGCCATTCTCCCTGAGACCCCCTTTCAGGGTCCCAGCCTGACTTCTTGGAGCTGTTGGGTTGGGCTGTGCCAAGCAACACTGCAGACCACTGCCTGTTTTTTGGATGGTGTGGTTGTTCAGCAGCTGCAGCATAAGCAGGTGAGCCCTTCCTGCAGGAGGAACAGTTTGAGCGAGTGGAGGAAACTCACGCAGAGAGAGGAGAGGAGGGATGGGCACTTTTTTGGACAACAAAGTGCTCCGGACATCAGCCATTAACCTTAAAACTTTTCTGACAATTTAAGGCAAGATGCCACTCAGCACAATGTAAACCACTTGAGTTGTAGGACCATAAAAGATAAACCGGGTGCCTGGAAAAAGAGCTACTATTTAGTTTGGCCACCACTGTGTTACCCTGCCTCACACTTTTGCTGAATAAGGAAAACCCTGCCCTTATGTCCTACCTGAACAGAAGCCCCCTTGCAGTCCAAGCTTTTGAAGCCAAGAAGGAATGGGTTTGATTTTCACTGCCCTTTGCCACATGTACTACTCTCACTCAAATTTAAGCCAGAAAATATATATTTTGGGGATTTACTGTTCTCCTGCCTGGACTATCCCAAAATGGAATGGAGCCAAAGAGATGCCAGACACCTACATACACATACATGTTCCTTTCCCTTGACACTTGAAAGGAGTTCTGGTAACTCAGCACCTCCCAGTTTTCTTTGGCTCCAGGTATGCTCGCCTGCCTTTGCTTTGATTCATGTCCTGCCAAGCTGGGAAAAAACTCAAAATGTTCCCTTTGCTGCTGTACATGAAACGAATGGCTCTGGTGTGGAGTCTGACAGTGATCCCTAACCACGGATTTCTGTGTGTCTGGGACCCACCAGAGTGTTGCCCAGCTGAAACAAGAAGGGCAGGGTGGCTTTTCATTAGCCATTGAAAAACAGGTCTACAACCAAGGGGGCCTCTCTCTGCACCAGCCAGCAGGTCGTCTGCTGGATGCTACCATCATTTTTCCTGAAGAAGAGAAAAATGAAAATAAGCAGACTCAAAACACTTGTCTCCAGCTGCAACACCTATTCACAGAGGGCTTTGCCCCAATTCTGTCCTACAGAGACGGAAAAAAAAAAAATCCTTGACAGTATAAAAGCTGATAAACCCCCACAAACCCAGACAATGGGAACAAGCTGAAGTGTTGCTGCAATGAGTCCAGAATGAGGATGTGTCATAGTTTAAAATTGGCCCCCGATGAGAGTTCGGGGGGGGGCTCAGATTGGCACTCAGATTGGCACTCAGATTGGGTGCCAGGGCAGTGTTCCCTGGAGAGCCAATCACTGTCCATGTTGTTCACTTCTGCTGAAAAATCATATATACACAGCACTGGAGGGTGTTGGCCGTTTCTGTTGGTGTCTGCTGCGTGTAAGTGTAGGAGGCCAGGGGCTGGCTGGGCTCCTTCTTCCCCCCTCCGGGGTGGGGAAGAGGGGAGACCTGCGGCCCCCCCAACTCTGCCTGGGCCAGAGTTGGAAGCACCATTTGGAGTGTGTGCTGTGAAGGAAGAGATTCACAGCACCCGAGAGGACACATACATTGATAAGCTACACTACAGCAGCCTACGAACCGAGGTATGAGACTGAGAAAGAGAGATCACGCAGCAGACCGAGGAGAAAGGACTCAAAGCTACCTTCTTGGACTTCATGAGGAAGGAAGGACTTCCACAAACAGCTTAAGGTTGGTTAGGGAGTGTTCAGGAGCCCAGAACACTCCCACGAGAGAAAGACTTGAAAGGCTTCTCCTGGACTAAAGTTAAAGGGAGGTGATTGAAGGATTGATAGTAATGTAATACATATCTATAGTTGCCTTTAGTTTGTATAGTATTTATTTGTCTAAATAAATGTATATACTTCCCCCTTCCCCTATAGAAGCCTCTGGCCTGAAAGTTTCTCTCTGGTGATGGTAGTTCTGGTAATTGTGGGAAGGGGTGGGGGGAAGCCTGGAAATTGGATTTTGGATTTCTAATGTGGCTCAAACTGCCACAGGATGCTACAGAGAATAGCCACCTAAAAGCCTGTACCCAGCCCATCCCCTGCCCAGGCTTCTGCTGAAGCCAGAGGCTGCAGTTCCATTTAAATGAGGGGCTATCAATGGACCTTTGTTGGCTCTTTGGGCAGATATCATGCTTTTGAGATCCCAGCGATTCACACTTACTAAGGGAGGTGTGGGAGGTGAGTAGAGGTAATCCTTTTTATTAGATGAACTAATAGAACTGGAAGACATCAGCAAAATACTAAAATTATGCCAAGAAAACAGGGGTTTTTTTACATCTGTGCAATTCTGGATTTTATTTCCCAGTAAAAGCACTTTACTCCCTGGCTTCAAGCCTGGTCTCCTGGGTAGCCCCTGTTAGCTGTAAGGTAACTGGTTTGAGATGAAAAAAGAGAGCAGAAGAACCTATGCTTATGGAAACCATCCCAAGGCCGCAGGGAAGCAGTCAGAAAAGTTTACGTGGCTTTGGGAAACCCAGTAAGTAGGCTGCGATGCTGAATTTGGAAGGCTTTCAGTTAGCAAAACGGTCGCTGGAATAAGCCCACAAAAGGAAGCTGGATGCTCCTGGCAGCGATACAAACCTGTGATTTTGTGCCCAGCTAGGCAAGGAAATGGGCAGCGAGATCAGAGGCTATTTTGCTTTGCCTCCTAGGAAAAGAGCAGGTATTGCCAAGCCAAGAAATGAGGCAGCGCCACTGCACAATGGCTGGAAAGTGCAAGGGCAGACTGGATAACAGTATTCACATGGTTATAATCAAGATCAGCAATTACCAGACCTGGCCTTTCAAGGCTAAGCTACCAGTTCAGAGGCAGGCCACCATAATG